GGGGGGGAGAGAGAGAGAGAGAATCTTAAGCAGACTCCCTGATGAGCATGGTGCCCAGTGCAGGGCTCGATCTCACAACCCTGAGATCATGACCTGAGCTGAAACCAAGAGTCAGAGGCTCAACTGACTGAGTCACTCAGGCGCCCCATCACAGTTTGATTTTTGATAGGAAAGTTTACCATTGGATAAGATGAAATTTCCAGCAAAAATATTTCTATTCACTATTTGTTTTTCTTCTCAGATAATGGCTCTGGATCTGGAGAAGGAGGTAAGTTTCAAGTACCCCTTAAAGGACATTTGTTTTCTGTCATTTTCTGTTCTTAACAGCTTTATTGAGGTAAAATTCACATACTGTACAGTTTACTCATTTAAAGTGTACAATATGGTGGCTTTTGGTATAGTCATAGAGTTGTGCATTTATCACCACAATCAACTTTAGAACATTTTCATTACTCCAGAAAGAAACTCTTAGCCATCACTCCCAACCGTAGGCACTTTGTTTCATGCAGTTATTTTTTGCTAAAGTTTTGTTGATACACAAAGCAGAAATGTTGTAGCTCCTGTTAAATTGAGATTGCATCAAAGTGCCTTCTCCTTGGGATCATCCCCACAAGTGATTTTGAGTTGGACCAGAATATTGGTAAATCTCTCATCCCTTGCTTACAAATTTTTGCTCGTGAGGAATTTTCAAGGTGCAAGGTTATAAAACTCTGGAGCGAGTTGTGCATGGCAAAGAGAAGGCTTGCAGAACAACTGTAGTGGAATCTATGTTTTAAATTTTATTTTACAGACATATAAATTACTTCTGTTTAAAGTAATTTCTGGTAATAGCATTTAGCAAGAGTTTACTCTAATTGTCAGAATTAAGAATGACTAATTTATCTCAAGTCTAATGAAGCTGTACTTAGTGTCTACGGTATGCAAAGTAATGCTGGAGGTACTGTGGGGATCTACTCAAAGAAAACTTACTCTAGTAATATTCACACTTAAATGAAAATTACAGTCATGATCCTTTCGATACTATCTGAAACCTTACTTCAGACTTCCACATTTCATAGAATCCTAAAATGTCAAGAGTTGGAAGGCACTTCAAAGGTCACTTTAGAGAATAGAAGAACCGTCTGGAGGAAGAAGTTCAGGATGACAGTTTTGGGGGGAAAAAAAAAAGATTAAAGCTATCCCACAATAGAATGTGATTTAAATGGACGTGTTCAAGCAGAAGCTTCATGATCACGTGTGAAGGACTAGACCATCAATTCTAGATCTTAGAGCTGGAAAGGGTTTTAAGAGGGATCATGTAGCCTAATACCTGTGGTCAGATATTTGGTAAGGAAACGGTCATTGTTCTTAGACTAAGAACTGGAAGTTGATCTCAAGATTTGTGTATATAGCATAAATACTGGATGTCTTGCTCTGACGGTTTCTTTTTAGGGAGTATGAGTTTAGAAAGACTAAGTGGTTTGCTCAGATTAGTACATAAACTTAAGTGAGCTCATGGTGGCTGTACCAAAGCCTCAGAAATACATAGGATTGTGATCCCCGGAATTTGGGAGTGTTCATGAGAATCTGGGGAAGATTTCTACTTAAAGTGTAGGCAGACACTACAAATGGAAAGTTTGGAAGTATTACCAAACAGGTTTATGGACTTCTCCTTCTAATATCTTCTTTACTGATTGACATCCCTGAATAAGGTGTTCTTTTCCAAACTAGAATGGGAGATCCCTTGAGTAAGCTGAATCCCTAAATTGGCCTCAGAACAGAGCTCCCTGCCCAGTTTGAGATTATCAGGGTAGGATCCATTCTAGTTGAGGCCCACAAATGTAGAAGCCCTTAAATGTGGGATAGGAGTTGGGGACTTAGAGGTATGAACTGGTTTTTTGTGCTGGATCGTAGGAGACCCACACACTTCTGTATTCTAGGTATTTCAGGCTGTGCTAAGTGGCAAGTCTTTTGTAAGGAGACCGCTTTCCTTTCACAGATTTGGAGATAAATATATTTTTTTAAATTCTGGAATTAGTTGTTATGTAGTAAGAAAGGCAGGTATAAAACTGATGTGAAGAAGTGGTTATACTCTATTGCATTTAATCATTTATTTGCTGACTGGCATCCCACAGGCTATTTCAACAGGGTAATCACTGGACCAAATTTATCACCCATGTTTTATTTTCTCTTTCTTATTTAATGTTATGTGATAATTCTTATAAAGGCAATTAATTATCAAAACCTATATTGAACCTTTGTACATAGGTTAAGGGATTATTTTGCTAGCATCAATACTTGTTTTTCTCATAGATTTTGTTGTACTCTGTATTGGCAACATTTTTGGGCACAAGCATTGATAGATTTTGGAAGTGATTGTTTTCAAGAGCTCAGGTACATTTTCCCTAGAAATAGGATAATGGCTGCTGAAAACGTGAAGCTTATCTGGAAAGGAACCCAACTTTTGGTTGAAAATTTAATTTTTCTTTTTAAACAGAAGAGGAAGGGTCAGGGGCAGAAGTTCACAGAAAACACTCCAAGTGTGGACCTTGCAAATATAAAGCTGAGTGTGATGAAGATGCAGAAAATGTTGGGTGAGTTGATTGAGGGAAAGGGATGCACTTACTTGGAGGATAATCATCAGCACTATTATGTTGTAGAGAGGTATCTTTTAACCTGGTTCTAGATATTTTGTGTATGCCTTCTATATTTTTTTTTGTTTAATGCAGATCTATTAATTTTTCTCTTATGTTGATATAATATCATAGCTATTTAAAGTGTTGTATTTTAGAATGAGAATCCATGTATAATCTTTTTAGGTTTACCTCTGCCTTTATTTTTATTGACAGTTTTATATAGTTTATCCTAAGTGCTAATTTTATTCCTCAGAAGTACTTTTATTCTAATTCTCCTACCATTATACTTTATACTAGTATCAATAATTTTCTCTTTTTCTTAACTTGGATTTTTATGCAAAAACTTTTCATGTATTTCAGTGTAAAAAAAATCCAAAACTGCTTCAAAATTTGAGATATAGTAATTATTATGTAATGAGTAAAATATTTTTAGAAATCCCATTTGCACAGACTGACAGTATGTTGTTTTATTTTCTCATGTTCAGCTTTCAGTAAGGTGGGTTTTGTAGCTGGACAGCATTGTCTGTCCAATTTTCACACGGTATGTGGTGGAATAGCAAGAATATTTACATCATCAACACAGTCATGTTTGTTCCTTCGGGTTTATTTATTCCCAGTCTCAACCTCTCATTTCCCTGTAGTGTTTGCTTTTTGCATAGTTGATTCTAAAAGCTTTAATGCTGACTTCAGGACGTTATAGCACAAATGGATCTTCACTTCCCTATAGTGCATATTTTAAAACACTTGTTTTATAGAGATTTGCACTTTCTTCCTTACTCACACATATTTTCACTGTGTGTTTTATTCAGCCCTTAAATACATATTCAGGTCTTTCACTGAACAGTGGTAATATGGTTTAATTGGCATTAATGCCCATAGGGAGCTTTACAAATCAGGATTGCACCATTTTCAGGATTATGGTTCAAAATCAGCTATTTGGGTGGTACATGGTAAAATTAATGTCATAATTTACTTGGTATATATTTTAAAGTTGGTGAGAATTGGCACAAGACAAGTTTAGTAAAAAGTGAATTTAGCAAAACTTCAGTTTGCTCTCTTTCTCCACGTTGGTCACTTGGATTGACATGTGTCCATCCATTTCAGTCAGAGTGATTTGATTGGGAAGTACATGTTTTCCAAAGTAGAGATGGGTCTGCAGAACAGGAAAGAAATGATGAGCAATATGGACTTGCAGAGAGAACAGATAATAGATGTTATGTTCTCTTCTTCTTGCTTTGTGCTAATGATACGGCATGATGAAGTACTGGTGTGTGTGTATTTTTGTAGAGATTTAGTTCTTTTTAGTGTTTTGCCTCAGGACTGTTCTATAAAGGTGTTCAGAGTCAAAATAGTTGTCAGTGATTGATTGGCTTGGTCTGTTGCTCTGTTTTTATTCCTTTCATGGTACCTCTCTCCAGTCCTGTTTTAGACATTTCTCTGCTCTCATTTTTTATCCCTTAATTGAAAGAGATAGAGATCTTTTGCTTAGAAGTAGAGCAGATTCCACCTAGTCTCAGAGGCAGCCCCACATATGACATCTGTATGGTAAAATATACATCTTTCTATGAACACCACCTCATGATATAATGTGTGCCCTCTGCCCAGTCAGAGTAACTCCCTTGTAGGTACTAAATTCATTTTGTGCATCTGTTTTGAGAGCTTGCAACCACCATTTTTGCAGATACAGGCTTTAAGCATAAGAAGTGGGCACAGACCAGGGAAGAGCTTACCAGTAGAAAGGAGCATGCAGGCTGAGGAGCCAGCCGGGGAGCACATAGACTGGGACAGGCAGCCAAGTCCAGGCCAGGAAATTGGTGCAATAATGGGAGAACATTAAGGAAGCATTTGGTACCTTTACCTAAAGGTAAGTGATTAAGCTAAAATGGCTGATCCTACTATGGAAGGAGATAGAAAGAAATTTTAGGAACATTAATCTTTTAGTGTATAAATAGTGTATAAAACACTTATTACTGATTGTAGTTGAGTTTAACAATTAGCCACACCTCAATGGTTATTGTAATTTTTTTTTTTTAACTTTTAAATGGGCCATGGTACCAAGAAGTTATATGGAGGTTATTTAACTCCTTCAGCCCACCTTCTGTGTGCTTTTCATGATTACTTTCAGGTGAATAGTGGCACGTTTGCCTAAGGGTAATTCTGACTCAGCCAACTAGACCTTTTCAGTATGGAAAATTGAGAGATGCCCATATGTGGCAGTAGACACCAAGCCTTGATTTGTATATAAAAACCCATTATTTATTAGGACAATGTTATATAATTTTTTTATTAAAAGATAAAACTATAGTTATTAAATACAGAAGGTCTTAGTTATAAAACAAGTACTCATGTCATGGCTTAATTATTATAAACTCTACCAGAATCAGAAAACTTTAAGGTTGAGTAGGATCTTAAAATTTATCTTCTAGCCTAGTCCTCTCACTTTACAGATGAGAAAATTAAGGATTAAAGTCAGAGAGTTTTATGGGGCAGATTCTCCTAAATTCCAGTAGAGTGTTTTTTTCTGATACTAGCTCTTTTGATTCTTAGAAAGAATGCTGTTATCCTTTTCCAACTTCAAGGACTGCTGCTTGATGACTTTTTAAAAAACACTGCCCTCTTCAACCTGGTCCCAGCTGAGATTTCTTTACTTTCCTTATATTCTTCTGGTCACTCTGAATACTAGCTGCTTTTAAATTCCTTGTTTTTACACCTTAGCTGTCATCTAGAAGGTCACATGCCTATCTGTCTGTTATGTATCAGTGACTTTTAGATGTTTTTAACTACAAATCTATGTAAGAAATAGATTTACACTGTGACATAGAATTCACATTTCAAAATTCTATGAAATAATACTTACCTTTATTAAATGTGAGGTACTCTAATACTTTCTATCTGATTTCCTTAAAAAATGCCAGAATTGACTTCTTTATCCACTAGTGATTATGACCTATAGTTTGAAAAATATTCCTCGATAATATAACTAATCAATATTATATTTCATGTTATATTTCTAGGTATGGGTATTCATTTAAAAATATTTTATTTTTTCTCATTTTGAAATGTCTTTTCTGTTAGAAGAAATTTTTTTTTTTTAAAGATTTTATTTATTTATTTGA